GTTGACCCCTGAATGACACGGGGGTTAGGAGCGCCCCCTCTGCAGTCAGAAATCCACATCTCACTGTATAGTCAGCCCTCTGAAGGATTGCACATCTTTGTAGTCAACCAACCACAGATCATATAGTACTGTAGTAGTGATTGAAAAAAAAAAAAAGCCGTGTATAAGTTGACCTGCACGGTTCAAACCCTTGTTGTGCAAGGGTCACTGTGTGTGTGTGTGTGTATAAATGAAAGACCTGACTAATTTTTAGCTGAATATAAGTGTGACTGTAAATGTCATATAGCTGGGTTTTTTTTGTTTTGTTTTTTTAAGCAAAATACAAGAATATCCAAGTATCATTCCCTTCATAGCAATTCTTTTAAAAAGATTAAACACTGATTTCTGTGTTACGGTTCTCATTAAAAATATTTTTATAGCACCTTTTTTGGAACTATATTCCTGCTTCAAGGTGTTTTTAATATTTGGCAACTGAGTAAGCCATTTGGAATCATGATTGGTGGTCAAGTTGAATTTGGGCTAAAATACTAAGAATATAGCATTCTTGGTGACATATAAATTCTCTCAACTGGTTCCCAAACTGCTTTTAATGATAGCTCTCCTGGAACAAGCTTTCCAAGGTCCCTTAAGGACACTATTTAATTTGGACACTTAAGGTATGGCTGGTTGTTGTTTTCATTTTATTATACAATCGTGACTTTATAGTCACATATTGTACATAGGAAATAGCCAAGTTGTATTCAGACTTGTAAATATAACTATCTCAAGTAGTTAATCTCAAAAAAAAAAGTCATATTTGCATGTTCTTTTTTAGGCTTCGTCCATGCTGGTTATTGCACTGAAAGATGTATTATGGCATGCTAGCAGTATACCAGTAACAGCACTTTATTTCATTTATATGTACACCTTTGAGGTGCTACTTAAGTCCAAATTGATGTATTATTCATTTGTAAAGATAAGGTACAGGGATGAACCTTGCTTTAAAGGTATTTTTATATGAAAATGGTGTGCTGTTGGAGGGTGTTAAAATGCTAGTTTGAGAGGGGTGGGAGTGCATTTGTTTTGTATGTTGGGATGTGAAATTTATTTTCTACAATTGGGGAGAAAGAAATTCTATATTTACAGAATGTTTTAAAAATGAATAGTTGTAATGAAGTTCCTGTGAGCATCATTACGGGTTTTTACGAAGAGGAATCATCCAGTGTCATTCTTCAACATTAGTTTCTGAGTGTGTACAGTACTTTGTACAGCTTTATCATTTTTTATAGGCTTTTCATGAGTTTTGCTTATAATGACTATGGCTTATTTATTGTTTATTGTTTTAATATTTGTGGAAGTCCTACTCTTTTGTTACGTAGTTTTGTTTCTGCACAACTACTGTACTTTTCCCTACGGAATAAAGACTATTAATAGAACTTGTTTTGTGTTGAAACAGTGGCTAAGGAGAGAATATCCTGACGCCCGCTGTCTGCCTTGCCTCAATGCTGGGTGCTCTCGTTACCCTACAGAAGTGGAAAGCCTGTTTTTACAGTAATGCTATGAAATGCATATTTAATTTTATTTAATGATTTCAGAACAAGGGTGATGGCTTCTAAAAATCCCAAAATACTCAAGGGTCAAAATTAGTCTTTTTGCCTGAAATAAGAAGAATGCAACACTTTGGCAATACACTGAACACAGTGCTAATGTGAAACTGTTCTTCAGCACATTTGTATTATCTTTCAGTTGAAAGTGTGTATTTGTCTTCATACCCACCTATTTCAAAGAGTATGAATAACAGTGAACATTAAACGGTCGTATTGTGGTAAGATCCTGATTTGGAATCTTAAGCCTAAGCAACTTCAGGTTATTGTGTGGTTACTGCTACTACTAGCAAGGCTAAGTAAAGTATTTCCAGGCCCTCCTGAAAGCCAAATATTTAAACTAAGGTAAAAAAACAAAAAAACTGAAGTGGGAGGGGAAGAGTCTATGAATAGATAATTCTTGTTGGATGACTTTTACTGTGAAGCTGCTAGTGTGAGTATTGAGTATTGATAGCATTTATTGTACATTGTGATTTTGATATATTTTTTAATTGAACTATTGTCAGTTTACAATGTGTCCGTTTCTGGTGTACAGCATAGTAGTTCAGTCATACATGTACATATACTCGTTTTCATATTGTTTTTTGTTGTAGGTTATGACAAGATATTGAGTACAGTTCCCTGTGCTATACAGAAGAAACGTTGCTTATCTATTTTATATATAGTACTTAGTATCTGCAAATCTCAAACTCCCAACTGATCCCTTCCCATCCTCCCCTGCCACCCCAGTAACCATAAGTTTGTTCTCTATGTCTATAAGTCTGTTTCTGTTTTATAAATAAGTTTGTCATTTTTTTTTTTTTAGATTCTACATGTAAGTGATATATGGTATTTTTCTTTTTCTGGCTTACTTAACTTAGAATTGACAATCTCCAGACATGGTCCATCCATGTTGCTGCAGATGGCATTTTTTATGGCTGAGTAGTATTCCATTATAGAAACATACAACTACTTTATCTGGTCATCTGTCAATAGACATTTAGGTTGTTTCCATGTCTTGGCTATTATAAATAGTGCTGCTGTGAACATTGAGGTGCATGTATCTTTTCAAATTCAGTTTCCCTCTGGATATATGCCCAGGAGTGGATTGCTGGATCATACATATGGTAAGTCTATTTTTAGTTTTTTGAGTAATCATCATACTGTTTTCCATAATGGCTACACCAAACTACATTCCTACCAAGAGTGTAGGAGGGTTCACTTTTCTCCACACCCTCTGCAGCGTTTGTGGACTTTTGAATGATGGCCATTCTGACTGGTGTGAGGTGATACTTCATTGTAGTTTTGATTTGCATTTCTCTGATAATTAGTGATATTGAGCATTTTTTCTTGTGCCTATTGACCATTTGTTTGTCTTCATTGGAGAATCTGCCCATTTTTGGATTGGGTTGTTTGTTTTTTATGATTAAGTTGTATGAGCTGTTTGTATATTCTGGAAATTAAGCCCTTATCAGTCTCATCTTTTGCAAATATTTGCTTAGTAAAGATATTTGGTCCAGTTACCCCAGGAAGTGCAGCCTCCTTGGGAAGCTTCTTGTCATCGCAGCGGGCAGGCAAGGGTGCTCTGGCCTAGTCCTGCACTGACGGTGGGGCCTGGAGAATGCAGTGGGCCGTGGTGTCCCTTCCTCTGGATGGTTCTGGATTTGGTTTGTCTAGTTTTTTGTTTGCTTGTATTTGTGGGGAGAAGGCATTGTTTGGCTCTGGGTTTGTTTCTATGTAAAAACAGAAGCATTTCACTTTGGTAGATTACTGGCATCTTATTTTCAGCCATTTAATTTAACAAGAAGCTATTCCTCGTGACACACAGAAAAGAAAATCACCTTCTTTAACACATTTAACAAATAACCAATCTTTTATTGTGTTTTCTATCAATGACTTCAATGATTTTTAGTAATTTTTATGTGAAAACCAGCCAGCCTCCTTTGGAAAATAAGTATTATTTTATAGAAACAAAAGATATCTGGTCCAATGGCTGGGCTCTACCAGTTTTAAAAAGCCTTTTGTTAGCATACTTTTTCTATAGAATACAATAGATAAACACCTTCTGGAACATGTTCCCAACATTTTTTGGTCCTCATGAGTAAGAATGTGAGATGTATGTGTAGTATGAAAAACAGAATACTCTTCTAGAATCAGATTGTGAATCCTAGCTGTGACCCAAAGGAAATAAAATTCAGTAATACGTTAGAATGACAGAAATTTTACAAAGCAGCAATTACAAAGAGCAGGTACTTGGGGATTTCTGTGATGGCTGGGCTTCCACCTTTCTGTGAACATACAGCATATTAGCTATAGTTTACAGAACATTGGAAAAGACTGACTGAATATGTAGACCAATGTACAACTACATTGCTTTTCCCCTTCTATTTCTGTGTTTTCAAACTTGAGAACAGCGAGGGTTTGGGGGTAAACACGGAGTCTTGGTCCCTGGCTGCCCTTAGAGTTTATTTCTAGCAGGCTTTCTCACTAATGGCTTCCATTCCAGTGAACAGCTTGTGACAGGAATGGAGAGTCAACACAACCTCACCTTCCTGAAGTTGAAGTTTTCTTCCGAGTGAATGCTTAGCAGGGTGTTGTATTAGCTACTGGTCTATTGTGTAAAAATATACACTCGCCTAGCTAAGAATATTATGTGGGAACTTTTAAGAATTCTGAACTCTATAAAAGGCTAGTTTGCCTCTTTTATGTTTCAGCAAAGTCAACTTGACGTATCTGTGATAATCTATTCCATCTAACTTGTACCTAGGTTTAGACAATGGGGGGAAATCATTACCACCTTGCAAATTTAGAATCTAACAACATTGGTCATTAAGTATATCAAAAGTAATTTTTTTCAATTTAGTCATAAACAAATCTATAATTATTTTGCTACAAATTCTCTTCACAAGGATT